AATCCTGGATCAGTTTTAATACTGAACAAACCAACAGTTGTGTTTATTTCCTGCATCCCTACAACAGGTCAAAGAAATAAAAGCACGGATTTTAAGCAGAGGCCAAATGGGATCTATTTGCAATAAACAATAAACTAGAATTTCTGCAGCCAGGCAGACTGTGGAAGTGAGCTGAGCAATTACGCAGTCTTCTTTAGCATTGATTTGTTTTGTTTATGTTACAGTATTTATAACCCATCCCAGTCCCAGAGGACTTCGGGCAGTGGACATTATCAACAGAAATACCCTCCCCAATGAGTAGACAAGGTCAAAACCAATTAATCATGCAAAGCAACGTTAACCTCAAAGAAAACGTGAACCAGGCAACCAAAATCCGAGTGAAATAACATGATTTTGACCTGTTTATGGAACTGCAGCAAAATGGGGGCTGCATGTATTGCTGGGGGGGTTGGATATTGCAAAGAGTGGAGGCTGTTATGGGAAAGGTTAAGCAATATAAATAACATCTACACCCAACAGTAAGGCTGCTCTTGTAGAGGAGGGACTTAGTGGGAGGAGTATTGTTGGACTGCCCTTTACTGGGCAGCCAACTGTTGGAGTGGAGTGTTGAAGATTGTGTAGACCAGGGTCTCCAAGCTTGGCAACTTTACAACTCGTCAACGTCAACTCCGAGAATTCATCAGCCAGCGTATGAGACTCCAGGTATACACCGTCTAATCATAAAGTTGCCATGGTTTGAGAAATATAGTACTGGTATAACAGGGAGGCAGAAGGAAGCTGTATCCATCTTTCAAGGTTCAGTTTACAACAGAGGTCTCCAAACTTGGCAACTTTAAGACTAGCTGGCTGAGGAATTCTGGGAGTTGAAGTCCACAAGTCTCAAAGTTGCCAAGTTTGGGGACCGCTAGTCTATAACAATAAAGTTCCACTCATTCTTCTGGTGTCTATTTCTTGACCTTATGCCTTAGCTCCACTAAGATCTCTTCTTCCTTCTCTCCATCCCCCAAATCCCACCAGGGTACGGACAGTGGAACAGCTCGACCAGCGTTATCTTCTAGTGCCCGAGAAGGTTAAAGATGCTTACTTGGTCCACCTTGTGCAAACTTTCCAAGATGAACATGAGGACTGGTCCATCATCATCTTCACTAACACTTGCAAGTGAGTTTTGTCCAGAGCGTCTTTGCCGCCATCGTTTCTGCTTTCTCTCCTTCTCTCCTGCCTCTTCTTTTGACCCAGTGCTGATATTTCAGTCTTGATGTAAGGACACTGAATAGCATTGTGCCAGTCAAACCAAATGTTGCCCATCAATTCAAATTAAAAAATTTTGAGGTCGATTTTTAAAATCTGTTTTCTTCCCTATTTTAAATCAGGTTGAAAAGAATGGAGTTGGGGTGGACTTAGTTTATCTAGTGTACGGGGTTGAACGAGAAAGTGCAGTTTTCTCTTTTCTTACCTTTAATACTTTAAATATCCCGTGTGCCCTGAGTAGGATAGGACCTCTAGAGTCTAGACATATCCTCTCCTTCAGCACTTCCTGGAATGATTAGGTCATCAGATATTGCTATAGAAAGTACTGAAGAAAGGTGAGCCTTTCTGGGCAGAATCCAGCACTGCTGTGAGCACTTGGCGGGTCTTAAAGTCTAACGTGGTAAGAGTGCACTACAAGAATTCAAGTGAGGTGGATGGATAGATGATGTTCCATCAAGTTTTAATAGTTCCCAGTGACCACATTGATATAGTTTTCTCCGGAATGATTATCAGATAGACCTCATCTCTTCTATCTGGTAATCCAACTGCTACCATATATAATTGGGTCCATCCCCTTGGCTACTAGTCACCTTCTTTTCTTTCCTTCCAACTTTCCCATCCTCAAAGAGTTTTCTCCAGAGAGCCGGGTTGTTGTTGCTTAATATACCTGAAGTAGGAAGATTGGAGCCTGAACTATTTGTGTTCAAGTGAAAATTTCAGTTTGATATGGGCCCAAAAACTCCCTGCCTCATTTGCAACTTGATTTAGAAGAGTAGAGTAGAGTAGAGTAGAGTAGAGTAGAATAGAGTAGAATAGAATAGAATAGAATAGAAGAATAGAATAGAATAGAATAGAATAGAATAGAATAGAATAGAATAGAAAAAATAATTAGAAGGGAAGAGAGTAGAATAGAATAGAATAGAATAGAATAGAATAGAATAGAATAGAATAGAATAGAATAGAATAGAATAGAATAGAATAGAATAGAAAAAATAATTAGAAGGGAAGAGAGTAGAATAGAATAGAATAGAATAGAATAGAATAGAATAGAATAGAATAGAATTCTTTATTGGCTAAGTGTGATTGGACACACAAGGAATTTGTCTTGGTGGAAATGCTCTTAGTGTACATAAAAGAAAAGATACATTCGTCAAAAGTCAAGAGTCAAATTTCATTGTGAGCCAGTCTTTCTCAAGTAGACAACAGAGGGAAGATGAATGCAGCCTCTTTGTTCTGGTGTGTACCTCTCCCATCTCAGTGCAAGGTCAATTTTTCAAAGAATGTTAGCAAATGGATCCTTATCTATCAAGTTTAATCATTTGTAGCTTCAAAGAATTGCACTGACCAAGCAGTCAAACTTGCCTTGTGACATAACCAGGAGCTGGCGCATCCTTTTGATTAACAGATGCACAGGGCAATGATGTTTCTGAGCAGATGCAGAGCAAAAGACTTGGCAACCTCAAAAGGAAAAACAGGAGCCTTCTGCAACATACAACATAAGAACTGCAACAACCACTATGTGGGACAAACAGGCAGAAGACTGACAGAACGCATCTGTGAACCCAAACGCATTCAGAAAGCTTGACAAAAATATTTTAACTTCACAAGACATAGACAGCTTTTACCATAGTTTCAATTGGGAAAATGTGACAATCCTAGACGAAGCCAAATCCAAAAATGCCAGGGAATTTCTAGAAGCCTGGCACACTCTGATCAGTCATCAATAAACACATAGACATTAACAACATCTATAGACTAGGCAAAAGAGGCAATCAACCAACCCAAAAGAGAAAAAGACTTTAGCACCTGTCCACCAGTGATTGGCAGTCAGATCAGCATAAATTAAAACTTCAGACCAACAAGCAAGCAAGTAATACCCCAGTCAAGAAACTGCCAAAGAGCCATCAGTAAACAGCCCAACCAAAGAATCTCTGAGATATATACATAATCTCCTATTCTTTGCCTAATTACCATTTTAGTTTCTTTTTATTCTTATATCTATTGTGGAGAGAAGGGAAATATACGATGAAAATATATTAATTTGTAATAAGAATAATGAAAGAAATATGCAATGGTAATGTAATAAGAAAATATATATATAGAAACATGATAAAGAAATGTAAACGATGTCTTGACACTGACATAATGATATATATAATTAATTTTATTTTATGTTTTTAAAATTTGAAAACTGAATAAAGTTTATAAAAAAAACACAAAGAATCTGTAAGACCCATCCTCATACAGATAGGCGAGACACCAGAGTATAAACTGACAGCAAACTGCACTCCTTGCTAGCACTGGTTATGGATGTTACCTAGTTAGGATAATGAAACGTCTGCAAGAAAACAAACAAACTCAGAGAGCATCAAGGACCCCTCATGTCAGCCCCGAGCCCCAAATATTCTTCTTTATTAGATGCAGAGTGATGGTTCCTGCACTAGCTGCCTTGCTCACCCAAAAGTAACACGGGGCTGATTTTTATTATTGCATTTTATTATTATTAAATCTACACGCCACCCATCTTGCTCTGCCTTTTTAGGACCTGCCAAATTCTCAACATGATGCTCAGGAAGTTCAATTTCCCATCCGTGGCTCTCCACTCAATGATGAAACAGGTAAGTCAATGATGGCCACCAGTGGCTGCCCAGAGGATGGAAGATTGGTGCTCAAGGCCAATTCCTCAAGTCGTCTTCTGCCATTTTGCCTCCTTGAAGCATTTTTTCCCCACCCATGCCAGCTCCAAGCCTCCATGGAGCTTAAGAAGGACCATGGACTCTATCCCCCACCCCCCCAAGGAAGTTTCTGAGCTGCATCTCCAATTGTGCTTCTACACAGAGAGAGGTCCCATCCAAGGTGATATTCAGCAGGTTCTGACCAGTTCTGGAGAACCCGTAGCGGAAATTTTGAGTAGTTCAGAGAACTGGCAAATCCCACCTCTGACTGGCCCTACCCCCATCTATTCTCTGCCTCCCATTGAGTCCCAGCTGATCGGCTGGGTCTTCTTTGGTTGCCCTGCACAGGAGAACGGAGCTGGAAGGCAGGTTGGTGGGATTTTAAATTTTTTTATTACCGGTTCTGTGGGCGTGGCAGGGGAAGGATACTGTAAAATCTCCAGTCAGAGGTGGTCTTTGCTGGTTCTCCGAACTACTCAAAATTTCCAGTTCTCCAGAACTGGTCAGAACCTGCTGAATACCCACCTCTGTTGGAAAGCAGGTTAGTGGGGTGGGGAGAGAATGGGGATTTTGCAGTATCCTTCCCCTGCCACGCCCACCAAGCCACGCCCAGAGAACCTGTAGTAAAAAAAAAAATTGAATCCCACCAATGGTCCTATCACTCGGCGAATAAAGCAACTTCACATGTAGGGATTTCCAAGTTGACTTCCCAGCATCCCAGGTAAAGCAGATCCTTTGGCCTGCAGAGTCCTCTCGTCTCATCCGAATCCCCGGCCAGTGGCCATTGCCAGAGGGAAAGCTAGCTTGATAAAAAGCACTTTCCAGCTCTAATGTTGTTGTTTTTTCCTTCTCTCTTTTTGGGGGCTCAGAAACAACGTTTTGCAGCGCTGGCAAAATTCAAATCGAGTGTCTTTAAGATCTTAATAGCTACCGATGTAGCTGCCAGGTGAGTGGAGCCTGTCTGGCACTACAATAGGTCCAGAAGGGGGTGTGTGTGTCCCAGATTAGGTAGGATGCCAAGCTTAACCATCTTCTTCTCTGTGTTCACAATCTCTTGGATTTAGGGGGCTCGACATTCCCACCGTCCAAGTAGTCATCAATCACAACACGCCTGGACTCCCCAAAATCTACATCCACAGGGTGGGCCGAACAGCCAGAGCTGGTAAGGGGAATTCTCTTGTCCTTTTAGTCTGACTTGCTTCTCTTTGGAAGCAACAGAAATCCTTAAGGGTTGCGCACTCTGCAACTTCAGAGACCACGTTGATGGACATTTGAACTGGCCTTTAGAAAGAGGCCTTCCTCTGGGATTCCCCACTTTCTAGGGCTTTGGAGCATCCTTGCCCAGAATTCAGAATGTTGTTTATTCTGTAGTTTGTGCTGGAATGTTCTTCTCGCTGGAATTTTTCCATGTGCCGACATGCTTTTTTCTTTTTTCAAGTCCTCAACTTATCATCGTAATTGAACCGAGAATTGTCATTGCAAGTCGAGGTTGTTAAGCGGGTCACCATTTGATCGCGCCCATGACCTTTTTCATCAGTTGTTAAGCAAATACCATGGTGATTAAGGGAACCTGTTTTCAACAATGAGCATTTTTTGCAGTAAAAAATAAAAAAGCACAGTCATGTCATTGTAGGTTGCTGCAAAATAGCCATAAATGTGAGCCGGTTGCCAAGCACCTAAATGCAGTCTCGTGACCAGGTGGCAGGGAGGTTTGCAGCCATCGTAACTTTGAAAAAGGGTAGCTCTGGGAAAATCCGTTGTAACTTCAAATGGCTGCTAAGTGAGGATACCTGTATTTCATTTCTCAGTCAGAACGCCCCCAGGGCAGTGGTGGTATTCTACTGGTTCGGCCCAGTTCTGGAGAGCTGGTAACAGCGATGAGCAGCGGAGACTGAACCAGGTCTCTCCGCCGCTCTGCTGTTGGGCCTACCCACCCGCCCGGGCTCCTATACTCACCTTTATCTGCTGAATTTGAAGCGCTGCTGTTTTGCACAGCACAGAAGAGTGCCGCGCGGCAGCTGCTGAAGTGACCGGGATCCTGCAGGCTTGCAGGAGGTGAGTTAGAATGGCTCTGCACCTGTGCAAAGTACGTGTTTGGCATGTGTGCATGCACAAAAAGCGTGCCCACCAAGCCATGCCCGCTGAACCGGTGGCAAAAATATTTGAATCCCATCACTGCCCCCAAGCAGTACAGTACAGATAATAGCAATAGCATTTAGACTTATATACCGCTTTAGAGTGCTTTACAGCCCTCTCTAAGCGGTTTACAGAGTCATCCTGTTGCCCCCAACAATTTGGGTCCTCATTTGACCCACCTCGGAAGGATGGAAGGCTGAGTCAACCTTGAGCCTGGTGGGATTTGAACTGCCAAATTGCAGGCAGACGGCAGTCAACAAAAGTACCCTGCAATACTGCACTTTAACCATTGCGCCCCCATGGCTTCTCACCTCATTCTTGTTTAATCCTTGTTTAATCCTGGTAATTGGGATCAGAATAATGTTTAGTGATGGTTGTTCCAGGAGTTCTGGTTGGTGTCGTTAAGCTAATCTTACACTGTCACATGCTCACCATTTGTGACTTCCCGCTGGCTTCCCCATTGACTTTGCTGATTGGAAGCTGTCATTGAAGGTTGCAAATCATGACATGTGGGCCACAGGACACTGCGAAGGCTGCCACTATAAGGATAGTCATAGGAACCACTTGTTCAGCACTGTTGTTAAGTTCAAACAGCCACTGAGCAAGTAGTTATTAAGCAAGGATTAACTGTACTTAGTTAATAATACAGTCAGCCTTCCCTTCTTTCTCGCTTTTCTTGTTTTAGATGGACAGTTTCATCTGTTGCAATAAAATATTCTTTATTGGCCAATTGTGATCGGACACACAAGGAATTTGTGATGCAAAAGCTCTCGGTGTGCATACAAACAACAAAGTAATGTAAACATAAGCTACTGATAGGACAAGGTAGTAGGAAAGATGAGAAGGAAATAGTAATAAGCCTCTACTTCATGGGTAAATATTTTTAGATATAAGACAGTATGATGGTAATTAGCTGTTCAGCAGGGGGATGGAACGAGAAAAAAAACTGTCTCTGTCTAGTTGTTTTGGCATATGATGCCCTATAATGGCGTCCTGAGGGGAAGAGTTGAAACAATTTATGTCCAGGATGTGACAGATCTGTAAGATATTTTCTCAGCCTTCTTTCTGATTTGTTGGGTCTTGTTTTAATTCTTTGTTACTTATGCATGCTTATGGTCCTGAATTAGAGTAAAGATTATTATTTCCTCCTCCTTCAGCTTTAATCACCTCAGATGTGTGGTTTAGATCAGGGGTCTCCAACCTTGCAACTTTAAGACTTGTGGACTTCAACTCCCAGAATTCCCAGAAGCTTTGCTTGATGAGGAATTCTGGGATTTGAAGTCTACAAACATGTCTTAAAGTTGCCAAGGTTGGAGACCCCTGATTTAGATCCCTTCACAGGTTGTGGGCCATGTTTGGGTCTGGTTAAGTACTCAAGGGAGGTGCATGCCACTCATGGAAATCTACTATAGTAGTCCTCAACTTACAACAGTTTCTTTAGTGACAGGGAAAAAAACATTTACGACCATTTTTCACGCTTACGACAATTGCAGCATCCCAATAGTCACCTGATCAAAATTTCAGATGCTTGGCAAAACTGGTTCATATTTACGACGGTTGCAATGTCCCACCTTTTGCGACCTAGACAAGCAAAGTTGAATGGGAAGCCGGATTCACTTAACAACTGTATTACTAACAACTGCAATGATTCACTTAACAACAGCGGCAAGAAAGGTTGTAAAATGGGGCAAAACTCACCTCACTGCCCAGCTTGACAACAGAAATGTTGGGTTCCAACATTGTGATCGTAAGTTGAGGACTAGCTGTTCTATCTAGATCAGGGGTCTCCAACCTTGGCCACTTTAAGCCTGGAGGACTTCAACTCCCAGAATTCCCCAGCCAGCTTTGCTGGCTGGTGAATTCTGGGAGTTGAAGT